AGCTCGCTCTGCACCCGGCCAGGGCTGGGCCACAGACACGGCACAGGAGGTGGGAAAAGATCCTCCGATGGTTTGCTCCCCGTGACAATCAGGGGAAGAGCTGCCTTGACAATCAGGGGTCCCTGCGGCCGGAAGGGCCTGAGTCAGGCCTGAGCATCTCCACCCTCCTCTCGCCCCAGAGGAGGACAGTGTGGAGGCCACAGGGGAGCAAAGTGCTGACAGCCACACCTGGCACCCACTTCTCACCTTACTGCATGGGGACGGGGGCGGTAAAGCTGTTAGAGGCAGGGCCCCCACCCCAGCATCCTCTGGCGGGGCCCGGGGAGCCCCTTTCCAGGCACAGGAGATGCCTGGAGTGCAAACCTCTCAATTCCAGGAGCAAAGTGGCTGTGGTTAAGGCTGGAGACGTCCCAGCTGCCACCCCCGACCTCAATGGCACCTGCTATGTGGGTACAAGGCTGGCCTTGGTCTCTACAACCCCTCTGCCCTGGAAAACCTCTGCAGCGCCCTTTGCCAGCCCTTAGAGCATCCAGGGAACTGGCTCCCCCGTTCTCCACACCTGCAAGTCCGCTCCTGAGCTCACTGAATTTTCACGACAACCCACAGATGACTGGTCTTATCAGCTGGTGTACAGATGTGGAAACTGAGGCTCCAAAAGCTGACGTCACCTGCCCAAGGTGACACGGCTGCTACTGGGGAGAGCCAGCCCCGGGCTGCGGGACTCTGCACCTGTGCACCTAAGCCCCCCTGCCGCCGGCTGGCTGGTATCCCGTGAAGGATTCAAGAAATGGCAGGCAGGCCCTGCTTCCGCTCAGCTCCCCTGGCTGACGTGTGCATGGGAGGGATGACATTGTTTGCAGGCAGGACAAATTTCCAGGGCCGGCTCTCTATTACACAAATGGAAAAGAAACGCAATTTGTCATCGGGGGAAGGCTGTATCTGATCTCCTTTGATCGATTTTGTCTGGTTTAAGGGAAAAAGCTGCAGAATGAGCCACGTTTAACCTGCGACTGCTAACTGCACAGCGCGGTCCACGCTCAGTGGAAACTGGCTCCATCTGGGGCAACCGTCTGGGGCATCTGGGTCAAGAGAGCCAGCCGCCTGCCACTCCGCCGGTCGGAACACTGGGGCAAAGGACATTTTCCTACGATGCGGGAGGCACACGTTTAGAAGGCTGGAATGTCGGAAGATAATCCTGAGTGGCCAGGGCGTGCGGATCCATTTCAGTTTCTGCCCCACATTTCCCGGCCCCGACTCACTTCCAGAGCCTGGGCTGGCACTTGGGCACACAGGCAGGAGAAAGGTGTGGTCCCCGCCTGGCCCCCGGTCCCTCCTATTTACCAGGGAAGACTAACTCAGAAGGAGGTTAGAGCCATGTGACAGGTGTTTGAACAGAGACAGGGAAGCAGGTGAGCTGCATGAGGGACAGGAGCTGGGTGATCACAAGAAAGAGATGCCGTGGGGTCTTGTCCATCTAGATTTGGGGGTTCAGCATCACTGCAGTAAAAGCTCACGGACACGTGTTGGTCCCGCAGACCGGTGCCGGGTGCTCGGTGGGGAGTAAATACTGAATCCTGACTCCGCCACTCACTAGCAGAGTGACCTGGACCAAGTGGCTTCCCTCTCTGACTTTGGCTTTCCTCTCTGTACAATGGGAATCGTGGCTGTACCTGCCCCTCCCAGTTACCGGCAAGGTCAAAGGAAGACACAATTGGAAAGTGTTATCACGATGCCACAAAGAACTCTCGACGAATGCCAGCAGTGCTTATTATCAGTTAAGGCCCCAGTTGCATCAAGGAGGGCACGTGATGAAATGAGCACTGGGTGTTATACTACATGTTGGCAAATCAAATTTAAATTAAAACCAAAAACCAAAAACAATGGCCTCAGATATTAATATGGGTCAGGCTCTGGGCTGGGCACTAGGGATTCATTGGTGACTCAGACACAGTAGCCGCTGTGGGCGGGGGGGGGGGGAGGAGGGAGTAGCCAGCCAGGCTTGTCAACATTATTAGAATATGATGAGACAAGAGTCATGACAATGGGACGCTCAGGGGGCTGGAGGAGCCATAGGGAAGTCAGAGAATCAGGGAACTCTTGGGGGAAGAGGTGACCTGTGAGCGCAGGGCTGATGCACACGCAGGGGACAGCCAGGCTATGGGAAGTGGGAAAGAGAACACTCCAGACAGAGCTTATAGCCTATGGAGGGGCAAGAGGTCTCACAACGGCTCCACACCCCAGAAATTATCATCCTTATCTTACAGATCCTAAAACTGAGCTCAGAGAGGTAAGATCCCTTTCTGAGGTCACGGAGCAAGGAAGGGGCAGGGGCTGGGGTTTAAGCGGAGAGCATTCCCACTCCAAAGCCTGAGGAAACCTCATGGGCTGGCCAACCGGAGGGACAGCGAGCACGAAGGAGGATCCCAGTTCCCACCAGGGCTCGGTGCAGACATAAGGGGGTGGCAGGAAGGGCCACGGCCCCCCTACCTCCACCCCGCCTAAGGGACCCCCCAGCCCCGCCCGGCAGGAAGGACGGTACCTCCATCAGGTCTATAAGCCACAGCAGCCGCTCCTGGGGAGGATGGGTGGGCAAAAGGCAAAAAGAAAAATACATCAAATAAATACCAGGGATGGGGTGGGTGCAGCAGCCGCCCCTCTGCCAAACATGCACGCATGCACACACCCAGAGAAAGGCACAATGAACACGATTCTCTAAAATCCCCTCTCTCCCCTAGATGCCTGGGGGGCGGGCATAAAGGACGGATGAAGAGAAGGCCCTGTTGCCACAACTAGCACCCCTCCATCCTAACTGCGTCCTCGCAGGAGACCTGGGGCCGCTGCGGCTCTGCAGAGATGGCAGCTGTGAATAGACGACGGCTATTCACCCGGGGGCCACCCTGGCACTGGCCAGCAGGCAAGGCTGGATCGTCACTCCCATTTGGCAGATGGAAAAACGGGAGGCCCAGAGAAGAGCAGGGACTTGTCCAAGGTCACACCTGCTAGTGGAAGGCAGAGCCTGAAGGGGGACTTTGCTCCGAAGACTGGACCAGAGAAAACCTGGACTTCACAGAGGCCCAAGCCCTGAGCCGGCAGTGAAGCCCTGAGTCTGAGGGATGGGGCCCCAGGCTGTACATGCAAGGGCACCTGAGGCACGAGAAGAGTGAGGGAGGGTAGCAGACCCTCAATCCAGTGCCTTCCAGAAGCTTCCAAATGTCTGCAAGGCCCTGGATGCAACTCCTCAAGGTGGTTTTCTGCAGTCGGGTCGGGGGTGGGGGTGGGGGGAGTGGGTAAGAGCAGAAGCTTCACCTGCCCTCGGGGTCTGGATGGCGTTTCTGGGATGCCGGTGCCAACAGGGAGGTTACTCCTCATTTAATCCTCCCAACAAGCTGGGCATAGCCGCATCCCTGTCCCAGTGCAAGTGGGGAAACTGAGGCACCAGGCAGTGAAGCACGGGGCCGAGACTGGGGGTGGGCAGCACCTCTCAGGTTTGGGGGCGACCCCAGGGCTGGGCAAGGCCACGGCAGGCCAGTGCTGAGCTGGACATAACAGTCACCCTGACGGCCATCAGGGCCTCGGACGAAGACTTTGGGCCATTCTCCTCATGGGAAAACTGAGGCCCGGAGAAACCGGGGCTCAAACCCACATGTCCTGCCTCCCAGGCTAGAACACACCCCGTTCCCCCCACTGGATCTCCCATCCCCGTTTCTAAAGGGACTAGCCCAGAATTACAGCCTGCAACCCCCCAGGTTTTAGAGCAGAGGCTCACGGCCCCCAAAGCCCCACAGGGATATTACTGAGGCCGATCTCAATGGAAATGGAGCTGGTCCCGGAGAGAACCGGCCCCTTGGGCCAGGGCCCTGCCCCCTGCATCCAGCTCATCACCTGGGTGCCCCATCGGAGCATGTGCACAGAGCCAAACACACAGGCAGCCCCGGGCGGCGGGGACCGCTTCTTCCCCGCCCCAGAAGCGTGATCTGCTCGTCCCGAGGCCTGGCACTGCCTCCACCGCAGCCACAGCCAGAGCCCTAGAGGAATGCCTGGCAGCTTGCCGGTCACCCCAGGACGGGACCAGGACTCCGAAGGGGAGGAAGGTGACTCAGAATGGTAGGGGTAGGAGACAGAGGGATAGAAGTTCCCCAGAAACCCAGATCCCCAGAGCTAAAGAGGAACCAAAGCTCTGCTGGGATGGGCAGGCTGCAGAGGCTCCCCCGGGCTGTTCCCTGCCGGGCCCCTAACCACGGTGCACCCCCGGGCTCTGCTCCTCCAGCAGGCCCGCTGACTGCGTGTGCCCCAGGGCTCCGGAGACTGCACCCGTAAGATCTCCCAAGCCAGCATCTGGGAGCAGCAGGGCTTGAGAAATGCGGCTCCACCCACCCCACCCCCCGCCCGTCCTTTCCACGGGGCAGTGGTGACGAGGGATCTAAGGACAGCAGAGGAGAGCGTGAGCACGCGGGCTCTCCTGACCCCCAGCCCCGCGTGGCCTGAGAGCCTCTTCCCTTGCTCCTTCCCGGCAAAGGCCTCCTGGGGCTAATCTGCCTCTGAGCATCCTGGGGGCAGAACCCAGGAGGGACTCCAGGCTTTTCTGGGGGGCTGGAGAGTCTGGGAAGAGAGGCAGGGTGGGGTCCAGAGACAAGACGGTGCGTCTCAGGTGAGATGCCACCACGATGACCCGCAGGAAGGCCCCGCCATGGTTTCTGGTGGGATCCTCCCACGGGCCGTTACTGATTTTTCTGTCTCATCCCCCGCGTTTTTCACCTCTGTCCCGAGCCTCCCCCTACGCACCGCGAGCCCACGCCTGCCTTGCTGGGCACGCGCGGGGCCTCCAACAACGATGAGGTTTTTCCAAGGGAAGAAGCTGCAGCTCGGAAAGGCAAGGGACAGAGCCGGGAAGGGGTGGCGCTGAGATGCGCACCTAGATCCGTCTCACTGCACAGCCGGCATCCTGAGGCCCCCCGGCCCCCGCGGGCCAGCACGCCAGGGACGGGGCGCGGGCAGCTCACCCTGGCCGAGCTGACGGTGGTGGAGGTGCCGTGGCTGCCTGTGGACGAGCCCGTGTCGCTGTAGGAGACCACGGAGTAGGTGTCCCCGGCCCCAGGGCCCGGGGGCTGGCGCGCCTTCATGGACTCGATCTCCCGTCTCAGCACCAGGTGGTCGAAGCGGTCCAGGTCTTGGGGGGAGATGGTGCCCCTCACTTCAGACAGGAGCGAGAACTGGGGATGGAGACCAGCAGGGCAGTCAGCCGGAGCTCCACCAGCAGGCGGGCCCATCCCCTGCTGCTCCAAATGACCACGTGCAGACTTGGCCACCGGCTTCCCTCAAGCCGCCGTGGCTTCCCCTGCCCCGGGAGACGTCCATGCACGGTGTGGCCTGGACACCGGGTCACCTCGTCCTCGCTGGCATCTTGGCACGCCCGCGTGGCTGCAGCCCCCCGAGCACACCCGGAAGCCCCGTCTCTCCCACCTGGAACGCCCTTCCCTACTTCTCTCCAAACCCCGTTTCCTCTGTTAAGCCTCCCCACACGCGACCACTCCCTGTGGGTTTAATCACTTCTTCCTTCATGCAGCCTCTGGAGCCCGGACCTCCTCTGGCAGCAGGGCACGGTACCCTGGGGGCTCGCGGCGGGCTCCCACCCACAGATGAGTGGAGTTAACCAGCCTGGGGCAGGCCCCGGCCTTGCTTTTGAAGAGCAATCCAGAGGATTCTCAGGGTAGCTCAGCATTGACAGCCACCTCGTCAGGGCCCCGTCCCCGGGAGTCTGTGGGCTGGCTTCCCCGGGACAAGGGGCCCACCTCGGTCACTAGCTTCTGCCCAGGGCTGTTTCCACCCGATTCTTTGGGTTCTCAGGAAAGGAGCAGGGGATGGAGGGAGGCAGGGGTGCTGCAGAGCCCTTGAGAGCCTCCGCCTCGCCCAAGGAGGGCCTCATCGTCACCTTGGCGTGGGTGTTGAACAGCTCAAACAGGGCCATGACCAGGGCCTCCACGGAGACGCTGCCGCCGCGGTACTCCTCCAGGTAGTAGGCCATGGTGGCGCGCTCCTGTGGGTTCAGCAAGTGCCGTGCCTGCTCCTCCAGCAGCACACGCGTCTGGTGGCCCAGGCTGCTCAGGGTCACCTGGGAGCCAGCCGGCCCCTTGCACAATCCCAGCTGAAAGACAGGTGACAGGGAGCGGGGGATTCGGAGCTGCTCGGGGTGGGGGTGGGGGTGGGGCCGAGCGGAGGGAGGGATGGGGGCGCCCCGTGGCCTCAGCCTCCACGGGACTCCTGCAGGAGAGGCCGGTTACAGGCCCCATCTCAGACAGGGCAGCTCGTGCGGTTGCAAAGCACTTTCACGTGTCATCTCATCAGATCCTGGCACCGTTCAGAGCGGAACAATTTCAGTGTGTGGTTTCCAAATCATTCCCCAGGCTTCGGTGTCCCCCTTGCTAAATCCGGGATAAGTCACCTCATTTCCGAGAAGAGCGCAGACGTGCATCCACCCCCTTGCCCTCCCGCCACCACCTCTGGCATCACCTGGAGCCGTGGCCACGACGATGTGGGTGTCCCCTGTCATCCCCTCTGCCTCCCCCATCACCTATGCAGAGCTGCTGAAATGATCTTGTGAAAACATGACTCCCCTCGTCGCGCTCCCTGCCTAAGCCCTTCTATGATGTCCCAGCATTTCGGGCTAGAAGCCAAGCCTCTCAGGTGGCCCACAAAACCCCGTGTGATCCAGGGACCCCGCCTGGGGTCACTCGGTTCCCACCCCGTGCTCGCTCACCGCACCCCCTCGTGCTCTCCTTGCCTCCACCAGGCGGCCCTTTGCCGCTGCGGGGCTCTGGCACACGCTGCACCACCAGACCAGACCAACCCTTCCTGCCCCTGCACCAGACCCTGGTGTGGCTTCTAGTTGGCATTCAGGGCACAAGCCCAAGTTACGGCGTCACCGACTCCCACAGAGCCTCCGCCCTCCCGTCTGCCTCTCAGCCCACCTGAATCAGATGTCCCACCTGCTACTCCCTCTCATGCTCCCGGCACCTCGCCTGACGGCACCCAACGACTTCTGTGACTATAGAGACCCGTGTGCGCAGGTTTGATTTTCTGTGTCTAGGCGTCATCTCTGCGCGGGCAGGGATCTGATGGGTTCTGTTCAGTGCAATTATTCCTGGGGCCCGGGGTGGTGCCCAGACCTGGTGGCGCTCAGTGACGTGCGGGGAGTGGAGGACGGATGGACCATCGGCGGGCTGCCCGCCCCAAATGAGGGCATGCACGCGAGTGGCTCTGCACACCCGGCCAGGCCCGGCCCCCACCCTCACCCCCCATGGGGACCGTGACGAAGCCGAGGATGGCCGCAGGTGGAGAGTGCCCTACCTTGCTTGTTCCTTCCGTGGGAAGATCCCCAGGGAACCTACGGAGAAAGACAGATGTGTTGAGCTGCATGACCGAGAGGTTCCACAGGCACGAGCAAGGGAGGGGAACGTGTCGAGGGCACCCTGGCCCAATCGCTGGGGCACCTCAAGGCACGGGGAACCCCTGGCAGCGGCGCCACTTCTGGCCTCCCCATCAGCCACGTGGGCAGCGCGTCTAAAACCACGCCCAGGTGGGCTCCTGACTCGTTTCCAACCCTACAGGCCCAGGAGGCAACAGGACAGGAGACAGCAGCCCATGGCCTCAGGGGAGAGGCCAACCTTAGGGAGGGGGAAGACCGGGGGGGGGGGGCAAACTGGAGACCCAGAGATCAGCTCGCAGGTACAGCTCAGCTCCAGCCCAATTTCATGAAAAAACATGCGCCCAAGCCGCCAGAATGCCTAATTTTAAAAGCAGCCAGAAATCCGCTGTTTGTTTTTCCCCATGGGAAACCTGATGGCCTCTTAAATGTTGGTAGCTAATTAAAAAATTTATGATGTTGTGCTGGCGAAAGGGGAGGGAGGCAGGAGGGAAAGAGGGAAGAGGGAGCGCGATGCTCTGGGTGTCGCTGGCCTGGGCGGCCCCCAGCCGCTCTGAGACTCCTGATGGAAATCCAAAGGGGACACCTGGCAGCATCAGCAACGACAGTCACTTTCTGACTCCCAGACCCCTTTCCTCGGGTAACTTGCAGAGTCCTCATCCCCAGGGCTGGATGGGGGCAGGGGTCGGGAGCCCCCCCTTTCCACAGGAAGCAGCTAAGGGCCCCAAATGACTTCAAGATAAAGAATGCGGGAGCTGGATTATGCAGGTCAGCTCTCCACAGAAACAGGCCCCGGAGGAAAAAGGACGTGCCCAGGGTCATGCAGAGGACCCTGGTATGGGGACCCCGGGCTCTCAGAATCATCACAGGTCAGGGTGTGGTGAGGGGACGGCAGGGGGCTTCACAAGGAGCGAGGGGCGCAGCCGGACCCTGCCGTGTTTGCGGTGGCGTCCTCGATCCGGGAACTGGCGATCCACTTGGTCTCGTCCACCGTGGTGCGGGCGTGGGGCAGCCTCCCCACGTCCTTCACCGTCAGGATGAGGTGCTGGGATGACTTGAGCAGCCTGACCGCCTCGTCATGCAGGATGTTGAGAAAGCTCCGCCCGTTCACTTCCAGGATCTGGTCCCCAACCTGCCAGGACCACCAAGGGACACAGTAACCCGGGCTGCTTGGAGGACACTGGCTCATGCCAGAGGCGTCCGAGTCCCGACCCCAGCCTGCCGAGGAGGTCACGGGGGCCCCGAGAGGTTACAGGGGCGCCTGCGGGTCACGCAGCAAGTCAGTGGCAGGGCCAACCTCCCCATCCTGAGCCCGAGCCCACGCTGCTGTCATTACAAAGGGCCACCTCCCCTCAAGGGGTGAGTCCACAGCCGGCTTCTCAAGAGGCCCCTTATCCAGACGACGACAGCCCCACGAGAGGCCTGGTTAGGCGGGGCAGGGCAGGGCGAGGGACGGGGAGGCCCGCTTCCGTGATCTCCCTTCTAGGCTTCCACGGGGTTGAGAGGTTTACACCTCAAGCGGGTTGAGAGGTTTACACCTCAAGCGCGCACGTATTTCCTTAAAATACAAACAACATTTTAGTTTACTCAAGAAAGAAGGAGTAAGTGAGAAAACGAGCCTCCCATTGAACCAATAACATATCGCTTGGATTGTTACGAGGAGGCAGTTTTATTTTGTAACGTGAACCCCCCCTCCCTTTTTTTTAGCGGCAGGATTCAAAAAAATAAAAGGGGGAAGAAAAGTAGCCTTCCCATACACAGGAACCCATCACCGAATCCCAGGAGGCTGGAGGGCAGGATGCCCGAGACACGGGGCGGCGTCTCTTCCTCGCTCTTCCTGGAGGGGGCGCTGCTGCCCGGGCGGCTCCCCACCGCGGCCTTGAAGGGCAGCCCCACACGGCCCAGGGTCCTGCCTGCTTTTCCCTCCCCCAGCCCCCCTGCCCTGCTCACGGCTCCGGGTCAGTCCCCAGGGGCCAGGAGAGCACTGTGGCCAGGGCTTAAGGGTTCTTTTTTTTTTTTTTTTTAATATTGAGTCTTCTAAAGTTTTTTTTTTTAATTTTTATTTATTTATGATAGTCACAGAGAGAGAGAGAGAGGCAGAGACACAGGCAGAGGGAGAAGCAGGCTCCATGCACCGGGAGCCCGACGTGGGATTCGATCCCGGGTCTCCAGGATCGCGCCCTGGGCCAAAGGCAGGCGCCAAACCGCTGCGCCACCCAGGGATCCCAAGGGCTTAAGGGTTCTAAGGGACATCACAGCTGGGGTTGAATCCCGACTCTGCTACTTCCGTGCCATGTGAGCTCAAGTGGATCCCCCACAGGCTTCTGTGCCTCAGTTTCCTCAGGTGTACAAATGGGGTGTGAGCCCAGGACTGTCCTGCAAATGTCTCCAGCCACCAGCATGTTTCCCAGGGCTCCCGGCCATACCTGCGGGTCTGAGTCTTTCCGCACCACCCGTGAGCACCCGGGCTGCCGAGAGCTTAGGCGGCCCCAGCTGGCCTCCGAAGACCAGCCCCAACCCCTGCTTCTGCGCCTGGCACACAGCAAGTGCTCAATAAGTGCTTACGCAGGATGGATTTTGCCCCTTCCCACCCTGTCTCGGCGGCCCCAGCTGGGCCTGCCTCCCGTCGGCCTGCCCCAGCGGAGCAGCAGAGCAGAGGACCACTGCGCACCGGGCCCTGCTGAGCGCGGAGGGCACCTCCCGCCAGGGCCCCGGCACCCCCGCCCGTGCCCCACGGCCCCACCTCTGCCCTCGGCCCCTGGCCCTTTGCCCGACCCTGGCCCCCTCCACCACCCCCCTGCACTCTGCCCTCTGCCCGGCCTTGGCCCCCTTCCGCCACCCCCCCACCCCCCTGCCCTCTGTCTGGCCCCCTCCGCCACCCGCTGCCCCCGCCACAGCTCCGGCTGCAGCCGGCCCACACCTCCCATCCGTCCGCTCAAGGGCTCTGTTTCCTCCAGTATCTCTCCCAAGAGCTTCGGCTTTGTTAAGGGAATCGGTCGTAATCTTCCCTACACGCTCTATTCCCGTCCCAGCAGTTTAACTAAAGGGACTAGCCTCTGAGAGCCCGCACACGTCAGGACACCCTTTCGTGCACGAGCTTCTCCCGCCGGGTCCCCAGGGGAAGACAGCTCAACTCCGCGAGCACCCACCCGGCCCTCCAGGGAGGCCTGGGGTGGGGGGGTCCATCGCAAATACCGCACAGGCCAGATATAGGCTAAAGGAAGCATCTGTTATCTGGGACACATTTAGAAGGGCAGCCTGTATTTCGATGCGCTAAATCTGACGACCCTGGGGTGTGGTGTCAGTAACCATAGGGGAGCAATCGGGGAGGGGGGGCCCTGATTGCACACGGTGGTTCCAAACTCCAGTTACTCTCCCTGGCCCTGAGCCCGGCACCTGTCACCTGTCACCAGTGCAGCCCCGTGATTTCCCAGCACACCACGCACTGCCACCCCATCCTCTGCATTCACATCCCCGAAATCACCAGGCCGCGGTGCTGGTCCTATTTCCCTTCCTGCCTGCTGAATAAATACACCTCCGCCAGATCCGGGCAGGCGGCGTGGGGTTCGTGTGCAGCCCGCCGGGGGAACGGGCGTGGAACGGGAGTCACACTTGGGAAACCCCAACTGAACGGGGGTACGTGAGCCCACCTTCTCAATCTCCTTCCAATTTTCTTCTGTCTTTCTTCTTCTCCAAGCAGCATCGGTTTTAAAACCCCAGTTCCAGACAGGGTCAGCTTCGGGTCCCCACGCAGCCGCCCACGGCATCTGAGTTGGTGTGAGATGCTCCCGCGTCTCCGTGTCCGGTTCTCGGTCACGCTCTGCACTCGCTGGAGGCCTTCCCGGGTCCGACAGCGCCGTCAGCACAGGGGTCGGCTGGCTCACTGTCGCCGTGAGTCCACAAGCCACTTGAAACAAATCCGGGGTCTCCCCAACTGCTCAGAGCCGGTGCAGCTGTGGGTGTGGGTCTCGTCCCCACGGTGCAGCAGAAAGAAGCCCCTGCTTCCGCGGCCGGACAACCGTGAAACAGGAGGGGGCGGCCCTGCACTGCTCCTGAGCACACCCTGAGGCTCAGTGTCCTCTCTGTGGAGTGGGCTCGATACCACCGGCAAGGCCCGGGAGGCCAGAGAATCCAAGGGGCCCGCCGGCCCGCGAGAAGCTGTTCATTCTCTCCCCTTCCAAATCAAGGGGATGGGTTTGGAGATGTCAAGCGACTTGCTCAAGGTCACATGGGATGGGAGAAAAGAGCCAGGACCCGAGCCCAGCTGTTTGCACATTCTTGGCACCGCTGCCACTTATTCCCGGTGGTCCGGGCTGGCGGGGGGCATTCACGGTGAAGGGCAGGGAGGCCCCCATTCTCCCCACCTGCCCCCCCTGCCCCTTTGCCTTGGCCTGTTGGAGATGGCACGTTTCAAGGCCTTGATCGGGCTCCTTCCCCGCCAGGACTGAGTGCCATGTGTTCATTCAGGGCAGCGTTCCTTCCTCTGGGCCCCGGCGCCAGCCCGGAGTTAGAGGCAACAAGCAGGGAGGCCGAGATGCCGTGCTGGCCAGGGTGGTCCAAAGTCTCCCGCAGATGGGGAGACTGAGGCCCGGACCGCATGGGCACGTGCCTAGGGCCACAGCGAGGCCACGGCGAAGCCCAGACTCTGAGGCTAACTGAGCAAGAGGACACCCACGCCACCCAGAGCTCCTCAGGACACGACCCCCCGGAGAAAGGGGAGACAGACGCGGTGTGATCGAGTGTCTGACAGCGCTCAGCTTGCACACGGGATGCCGATGGGGAAGACACGGGAGGATAAACGGATAAAGGTGGCTTCATTTTATTTGTCCCCACGGGCATCCTGTTTATCACCAGGGACGGGGTGGGGAGGAGGCGGTGCCAGGGGACGGACCACGGGAATGACCTTTATTTTAAGGCAGAGGAGAGACTCCTCCGTCATCCACAGCCCATCAGGTGACAGGCTCAGATCTGGGACACTCCGCGGAGGGCACAGAGACCTGGCTAACCACCAGGAAGCAGGAGTTCACTCCCTCTGGGTCCGAGGCCAGCAGAGGAGCACAGAGGAGGAGGCCCTGCAAGCGGCACAGGGCGCTCGGCAGGCGTGGGACTGACCCACGTCGACTGCTGGTCCCCTCTTACTCCCTGAGAGACCCAGGGGAAACAAGTTCACCGTTCTAGGCATCTCTTCCCTCAAAACAGGAATGAGACACCAAGTGCTCCGGAATGACACAGAGTAAGTGGCAGAGCATGTGAGGCACAGGAGTCGGCCTGCCCGGTCTAATCCCACCTGCGTGACCCTGGGTAACCCCCCTCTCTGTGCCTCAGTTACCTTCCCTGGAAAATGCGGGTAGCGTCAGTGCCTACCCTCGTGGGTTCCAGGACTAAGGGAGTTGATAGATTCCGCTGGAGCCCAAGCACCTAGAACAGCACCTGGCACGTAGTAGGTGCTCAGTGAATATGTACTGAACAGGTGCACAGAACGCAGTAAAATAGTGTCTAGCATCCAGTAAGTGCTCAATTAATGTTAGATGCATTTTTTTTAAGATCTTATTTATTTATTCATGAGAGACCCAGGGAGAGAGAGAGGCAGAGACACAGGCAGAGGGAGAAGCAAGCTCCAGGCAGGAAGCCCGATGTGGGATTCGATCCCAGGACTCTAGGATCACACCCCAGGCCGAAGGCAGATGCTCAACCACTGAGCCCCCCAGGAGTCCCCTGTTAGCTGCATTTTTGAGAAACTGTGCTGACAGGGTCCCTGGAGCGACCTGTCCTCTGAGACACTCAAAATCATGCCCTATCTTTTCACCTGCCTCCCCGCTGAGCCCTGCCTTCAGCTTCCTCGGAATCACGTTCTGACCACATCTACGAGGTACGTACGGTTACCCCCATTTTACAGATGGGGAGACTGAGGCCAGGACATAAAGTGACCAGGGCTGGGATGTGGCCTTTGTTCTCCCAGCTGGCAAAGCTTGCCTGCTGCTCGTGCCAGGCACAACTCCTTTAAGGAGCTTAAACTCCTTAAACTTTAAGGTTGAACTCCTTAAACCAGCCGATCCTTCTGTCTTCCACCCCTCAGCCCCCCGCTCCGTGTCATGCACACAGTAGGTGCTCTATCCTGCCTGCTGAAGGGAA